CTGGCGGCCGGCGGTCGCAGGTGAATGGTCGCAGAGCGGGCGCCCGCCTGGTTCACAGCCAGGCATCCCCGGGTCTGTTCCCACATGCCCTCCTCCTTTCACCGCCCCCAAAGTCAGAACTATTTACCAGCAGCTGCCTCTCTCCAAATCCAGCCCCTCCCGAACGCGGGTGAAAACAAAGCAAGCCCCAAGTAGTTTCCTCCTCTCCAGCCCAGCTCCGAAAGCCCACATCCCTCAGCCAAGAGGCAGACCAGTTTCCTGGGACTCCTCTTTCCTCAGCCCAGACCCTGCTCCTCTGCCTCTGCGTACTGTCACCTGCATCCCTGCCTCCATAAACTCACTTACCTGCACGAACTGCTTGCTTTTCAGGTAGCTTTGGTGCTATTACATCTTTTCTGGACACAGGCTAAATTATTCTCAAGGAAAACTATGGCAGAAGGTGTTGCTCTTAGAAGTGAAACAATCAATCAGGTGAGAAGCAGTACAGATGCTTGATTGGGTTTTGGGTCATAAAGTTAGGCTGGAGAATTTTCCAGGCTGTTGAGTTGCAGCAGGCTGAGAGTTGGACAAATGAATTTCCCAGTACCTTTACTCAACTTTTACACAGGGTAAGGAACCTTCAGCAGCATCCTGTCACTTCTGGAAATCTGAGTTCCCATCCATACTTGAGGTTCACTGAAAGCGGGTATGATCTCTTCCTTCATGAAGATGTTGTACAGCAGACACCAATATAAGTAAGCAATACCAGAACTTAAAAAGAATTAGTGTCTTAATATGGTGCAGATATATATTGCCCAAATTCACTGTGCTGTAACCCTTTAGTATTTTATCTTTTAGAATTGCCTCAGACACTTCTCTCTAAATACTTAGCGAGGCAAGAGTAAAAGGAAACTAAACGCGGGGGAGGGGGGAAGGAAGGAGTTATTTTATATACCAAGTGGCACAGTGACTGAAGCCAAACCCTGCAAGTTCCAAGCACAGTCCACTCACCTCTGATTAAAAAAAAAGAGGAGGTTAGGACACTTGGTACTGTTCAAAACGAAGCACTGAATGTCCAGGCATGACTCAGTGCCAATTGCAAAAGAGCCTTGTGTTAACTTTCTACACAGTGACCTGGCTTACAGTGATTTCATTGTGTGATAACACCTAGTTCACTGAAATAATAATTAAAAACAAAAGAAAAAAAAAAGCCCTTTTAGATTGATTTTGCAATAGCAGTGCAACAAGACGCCACTCAAAACATGAGAGTTTTATTTTTAATTATAGAGCTAAAAAGGCCAATATTTTATTAACATAAGTTTGCAAATTAAAAGGGAAATGCCAGAATTCCTTAATAATCTCCACTGTAAAAATGCAAACGACTTGTGCTTTAAACATCACCATAACACACTACAGGACTACGTCCTCCCTCCCCTGCCCCTCTCCCCATTCTTCCAAGGACTACTGAGAAATACCTCAATGACATATTTCATCTGAAACGTCAAACGACTATTCTAAAGCAGATACTCATCACAGCCATTTTCAGTCTGAACAGTTTGTGTATCACACAAATAAAAAAAGCAACTTTAAATGAGAAATATTCAGAAAATAACTACAGACATTACCATCTACACTGCAGATTTAACTTTTTACAGAGCAGTAGCTGAATGCAAATATTTGATAAATCGGACCAAACATTCACAAAATTTATGTCTTAAAATGTCTTTCTTACCCCATTTCCATTTTTTTTCTTAAAAAATAATCTTCAGCAGTCCACCTACTGTCTAGAATATACCTAAGCACAGCTTTCCCTAGAGCTAAAAATTTTAACTCCATCATTGCAAAGCATCCTACGCCACAAGTTCTCACCGTATGATGGAGCATAGCTTTAGAGGGACTTATTTAAATTGGAATATATACAAGTTCTAAATATTTTACTTCCTACAGGGATGTCTTTCTTGGAAAACCACGAATACTTCTGTCAAAATACTGGCTTGAAAGAGCAAAGTCAGGAATATGGTTGAACATCTACAATCTATGGTTTTCCTTCCACTACAGCTCGAAATTATTTTTGTTTGCATTGATGTTTAAAAGCATAACATAATTTTGTCTCTAGAAAGTGTTTAAAAATAAGAGCGAAATCTAATGAGATATGTATGCACGGGGCAGGACTGCTATAACAGTAACTACCTCACTTTCACATTTGGAGAGATGAAGAGCAGATTCTTCTGTAAACACATGATGCAGCATCATTACAAGACCCAAGCCAGCCACGTCTGAAGGACAAGCTCACCATAACTTACAGCAGACCCAGAAGGTAGTCTTGGCTTGGCAGTACTCAAAAGCTTAGAGCTGCTTTAGAGAACTAAGGTGCAGACTGTTTCTTCAGCAGTTTTGCCAGAACTTGAGTACAATTTGGTTTCTACATCCAGTAAAAAAAAAAAGTGATTTATTAGGTTATTGCAGTGGACATTTTGGCAGAGAAAGCAGGCACACTGAAGTATGCGTCTGTTATTTCCAAAAAAAGCCAAACAATTTCACTGGTCTGGTTTAGAGAACTGGCCTGGACTGCACAGAACGCAGCATTTAATTCAGACAGAGGATGGGGAGAAAGAGAAGGGCAGAAATAAAACACCAGGGGCAAACAGGAATCTGCAACCAGCTTTGCTTGTTTGTGCCAAAGAAATTGTACGAGGGAAGAAACTTCAGAAAACTAACAGTACAATCCACTGCGCTGCAAAGATCTTCTCTTGCACAGCTCAGGAGAAGGACGCACTGCTCAGATGTTAAAAATCACAACCTTGTAATCCACTGGGTTCATAAGCTGTGAGCTAAGACGCAATAAATTCAAGAGAAAAAACTAGGACATTTTTTGCTGTAAGGTTCAGCTGGTCACAGTGGATTAGAAGAAATCCTTCAGCCAGCAAGGGAAGCAATTGCAATGGAAAATCCCTGCTCACACTGGGCAGCCGCCACCATCCAGCGGGTACCGCTTGTGGGCACACAGACGCACACACTGAAATGAAGACAAGCATCTCATTTTCAAGTTGATTTTTGTAAATGGAAAAAAACCGTATAAAATCTATCCATACGTTAACAGATACAGGAAGTTACACAATCCAGTTTACACCTAAAGTAACAGCAATCAGTCCATAATAAGAACAGGGAAAAATTCCAATTTGTCCGAAGTCACTACAGGGTAGAGGATGGCAGAAGGAGGGTGGTTGGCTTCTTTTTTTTGGTGTGTGGATAAAACTGGCTATCTTCCCTACTTCCAAAGGAATGAGACAATTTCAACAGACATGTATTAGGAATACTTTTGAAATGCATCTGACTCTAGCATTAACACTGAATATTCAAAGATTCACATTATTACAGCATAATGTTTGGATACTTTTGCCTCCAGGAGAGGGCACTGGGCAGTAGATATTATCCAAGAGAAATCCTGCACCCGTCTTAGAATTTACAGCATTGATTGAGTGAAAGATTTTTATTTTATGTTTTTTATCAATCCTGGAACACTTAAAATTTGTGTATCCTCCGCTCAGACATTTACAAAGCATGCAGAGACTGTTACTACTCAACATATAAGAGGCTATGGAAAATGCGCTGGTGGGTATTGGTCTAATTTTAGTGAACTCATGTCTAGCATTACATGCAAGCCACACCTGGCAGTAGTTTTCCCCTCACGCCTCCATTTACTGGAGGCCCCAGAAGACAAGGCTTGAATGAATGAGCATGGAAGCTCAGGTATCATTTTAAGGAATAAAACAAAACAACTATTAGCAGGAGCCAGCTTGTGGGAATGCCTGCCTTTCTACTGGTGTACCTGTGGGTGGACAGTGTCAGTCTAGGGCTCAGAAAAGATGCTTGACTGAATTTTAAAGGAAGAGGGAGGCACCTTAAACCTTGAAAAAGACAGACTTCCTGTGTTTGACAGGTGTATTCAATATACACACACAAAGCAAGACAGTAAGCTGTGCTCATCCACCCAGAAGACTGCATCATTTTTCTGAACACACAGAATATACAATCCCTCTTCAAAATAACAACAACAATAATAATAATAATAAAGCAGAAGTGCAGAACCCAGCCTGTCGAGTGGTCTGTGTTTAAAAAACCTAAGAAAGAATAAAAGCTAATGCTGTAAAGACAACTATTCCCTTTCAAAGCAAAGGCCACATAAAACTGTGTTGCTCAGTTTGGTTTTTACTTCATGCCACCTGTAAACACAAGACTGGATATTCAGTTTCTGGGAAGAAATGAAATCACTTTTACATTCAGAATCAAAGAAAGGCCCTCCACTGCCTGGATCACAGATTACCCAGGAAAAGGTAGCTGGGGGAAGGCTCTCTTCTCGTTTGCTCATTTCATTGGAAAGGTCGTATCTGAACAAAAGAGCTTTCAATAAAAGCACAAAACATTTCTTGATGTTATTTCTGCCCCCTGTCTCTAAAGTTTGCTATGGGGACTAACACGTTCCATTCCTCATCAACAGATACATCACCTTTTTTGGCACCACAGGTGGAATTTCTTCCTGATGTATAATTTTGCCTTATAGAAAGTCGATTGTCTAATCATGCAAATCCAACAGAATTCCAAAAAGTGCCACAAGACAGCTCAACTCTTTGCAATCTACTACCTAGTTTGTACACTGCCATTGAAAACTCCCAGAGAACAGACTGGCATCCTTAGATTTGATGGTGTATTTCATACACGGCATTTCAACCTCTCTTTCTGGGGGGACAGAATTGAAATCCACACCCTGATTCCATTGATTTTTCACTCTCAGAGCTCTGAAATGCATGGAGATTTCTTTGATTTGTTGAAGATGTCCTCACTGAACAGCCTGATTAGAGAAAAACTTACTGATTCAATCAAATAGAAAATAAAGACAAAAACAGGTAGTGGTGGATTTCTCAATCTTTGCTCCTGTCCTTGGAGACTAGGGTAGAGTTTCACCGCTACTGCATTTTCCCCAGCTGGATCTTCTTCCAGGCCTCTGATGCTGTGAAAATGCAGGAGTCGAGGATCCCAGCTACAGTAAATGTTCCTCCAATGATGGCACATATCTGAAATGTACAGAGAGAGGAAACAGGCTTGTCAGTGATGAGGGAAACTTTTATGCAGCTTGGAACCAGGGGGAAGGATATTATTGCCTACTGCTAGGGTATTTTCTGCAAGCATAGTAAGAACTGGATAACAGTACTGGGGACGTAATTACATGACAATCATTCAGGAAAACCATTCGCTACAGTGGAATAACTTAGTACTATCCTGAACTCACCATAGCCTCAGCCAAACCATAAATCCCAGCTCCTAGGAGCCTACAGCATGAATGCTGTTCCCTTCTGAGCTAAACTCCACCTAATCCCTGGAGGCATTTAAAAGGCATACAGAAGTGGTGCTTAGGGACATGGTTTAGTGGTGGACTTGACTGTGCTAGGTTAACAATTGGACTCGATCTTAAAGGTCCTTTCTGACCTAGACGATTCTATGATTCTACGATTCTACAATTCTAACAAAGCTTTCTAGAAGCTCTCTGTTGCTCATATCTTCCTACTACTGTTTTCTATTATAAATACCACGGCCTTGTAGTCTTTTCCCTATTTCACAAGATACAGCATTTGCAAACAGGCAAAAGACACTTAAATAGCACGTGAAGGACAGTGACTAACAGAGAAACCTAGTTACCAGTGACACCTACAGCTAAGTCTGTCTAACACTTTCCATTACAAGGGCTGCTTACAAAAGCACTGCCAACTTAACTCTTTGTGGGCCAAAGTTTTCCATACAAGATGTCTTGGGCTGAATTATTTATACACCAGTAAAAACACATAATCATTTTCAAGAACAGAGTTAAATTATTCTCCTGATCAGCATAACAGCCCACTTCAGTTCTCAAGTGCTAGAAAAATGCAAAAGTATTCTAACATGTCAAACCAAAGGTACTTTTGGCTTGGAGGACCCAAAATCAGGGGACATCAGTTATGGATTTTGCAACACATTGCTTCAATTCCCTTATCTATGAAATGGGGACAATGCAAAACTTGCCTCCCAGGGAAAGTGTGAAGGAAAATACATTTGAAAGGTTCCATACCATGACAAAAGCCATCTCGGAGTCCTTGTAGAAACATAGGACTTGTACTCAGGACTGGGTTAATACAAACCACCTGCTAGTAATAAGGCAGCAGTCAAACACTGTAGGATGGGAAGAAATGCTGTTCACAGGGTGCCACCCCGCACACCGCGCAAGGCAGGGTTCACATGGAAAGTATGATATACAATAATGTAACCTAATAACGTTTAACAGGCAAGTTATAATTACACAGGACCTGACATTTCCTAACTCCCACATTTTTGACTTCATAACTGTGATGCTCTTTTGATTTGGTCTTTTACATTGCGTAGGATTAGGTGGCTCTGAGAATACGAGACACTGGATCAGTGAGAAGGGGACAAGATACAGAGCTTATCTCCTGAGAAGGGCCTGCTTAGGAAAAGGGCAATTTTGCTGTGAACTAGAAGCCGAGAAAGGAACCCAAAATCAGCAAGCCAATCTGGCAGGGTATCAGGGAAATGCAATACAACTGACACAGGAGGGAACTGGTGCCACACTAGACCTCCAGTGCCATGTCTCTCCTCCCACACAGCACTACACCCCATGGGCAAAGTTACAGACAAAAGGGTAACATAGCAGCAGCGTTCAGATCGGCAGGGAGTTAGCAGTGGCAACAGAACAAACAGTTCATTAATGGTGAGCGAAGGCAGCAAGAAATAAAGCACTCATTTACATGTGTATTTATAACTGGGATATGCATTTAGTGAGCTCAGTGAAATGAGAAGCTGCAGTAAACACGGCTTTTGCAGGACAGTTGGCATTCCAGCAGATAAAGGCTTCAAAAACCAGAGCACCAGCCTGAGGCAAAGTTAGCATTTTTAGGGGACCAGTCCAGCTCCTGCCCCTTGTGCCCCCCTCCTTGCTATCCCTCAGAGCATGACGCAGGGTGACTTTTCAGGGAAGATGACTGCAATGGAGTTGGGTTATTTCAGTCCACAGCAGCTCAGCTGACAGGAGATGTTACACCGCAAACAACAGAAAAACTATCCAACACTAAGATTTTGCATCATATGGTAGGAAAATCTGATTTCAGTGCAGCAGTGCAAGGAGGTGGGGAATAGAAAAAAATATATATTCATCTGCACAGCTCTGTACTGCTGAGTGTTTATGAGTCACACACACCTGGCATTCACTTGGAGTCTGCCTCCCAGCACGCACACAGCCCTCTTGTTTCATTGCGACAAAAAAAAGCAGGACCAGGGTTGGTCTCTAGGTCAGCACAGAAGTTGCACCACCGTGTTTCTTTATCACCACACTTCTAATACATATGGAGCGTTGCTCCTTAGCAGCACTGAAGGAAGTTAGGCATCATGCGCTTATTTGTATTTAATGGAATTTTATCCTGGGAATGATCTGCGTTTGGCTCCGTGAGGTTACAGTTTGACTCAGGCTCAACCATTAAAGAAGGAAGGAAAAAGAAATACAGAAGTGTAAGAATTACAGCAGTGAGACACCATGCAACATCGGGTATACATGAGGGTTTTGAACAGAATATGATTATAGGATAGCGGCTGGGATGCAGGCTGAAGTCTAAAGTAAAACATGAGTGGATATGTAGGAGAAGGCAAGGCTGCAAGCAAGGCGACAGAAAGGCAAGTGCCAGATATGCAACTGTGGACCTCTGGGATATCTCAAAATCTGAAAATTACTTTTAAGGACAGAGGGGACCCCCAGGTAATTCATAGTAAGGTAAGCTGCAGAATCCCACCCAGAGATTTCTGGCTCACCTGCAGCGCATCTCACAGACCAACACTGTCTTGGTTTTAAAAACGCCATGGGACTGAGTCTATGATACCTGTCGGTAGTAGGTCCCATGGCTGAAATAATTCTCCCTGCAACCATTTCCCCTCCTCCATTACTTCCAGTTGAATTTTTTTCACACCTAGAGGGCAGGCAAGTCTTCTCATACCGGGAAAAACATTATATTCTTTTCTTTGGATTTTGAATGCTTCAGCAGAACTTTGGCTTATTTTCTGCCTGCCCTGCCCTCCCAGCCCCTAGACTGACCTCATGATAAAAACCTTCTTTCAGTATGGCCACTTATAGGAACTCATAAATTTTCGGCAGTGAAACTTTCCCCCTTGCTGCATAACCTCAACCACGAGGCCATGAATAGCTTCTCTTTGCGGGGACATGCCTTGATTTTAAGCAGTACAGTTTAACAGGCAAAAACTACTTTGTTTAACACTATGCCAAATGTCTGTGGTTAACCCCAGGATCCATGGCAAATTCACAGCATACTGACAGTGGCAGCACCGCCTCACAAGCAATACAAAATCTTATTTAGTACTGAATTTTTTGAAACGTGACATGTAAAGTAAAATTTATGCTAAATCTAAGCCTTTTGTCCTGCACAGGAAGCACCTCTCACATGGTACAGAAAATCAGGATAATTCTTCATACCACAAAACCCCAAGGAGTAGGCAAGAGTTAGAGTGGGTCCACTGGGAACACAGAAGACCTGGGAACACTGCTATGGTGCTATAATGCTACTCTTAGTGACACTGAAGTTTTTGGGGGGCAAACTCATTACTAACAAAGAACATTAGATAACCGTCCCACCAGCAGAATGAGACTCCTTTGTCTCTGCTGAACAGCCAACAGCCCTCTCTCATCTGATCTCTCCACATGGGACTGTCCCTCCACAGTGTATCCTTCCTTCCAACATTCACACCATTTCCCCCCTAAAGTCTCTTTCAAGCCCACAAGATCCTCCCCCATCCCTGGGACACATTTAAATCTACTGAAAGCCTCAAAGGTGCCCTAGTAAACAATCTGCTCACTAAAAGGAGGCGCAGGTGATCCCCACTCCGCCACCCTAGAGCCCCTTTTGTGGTTTTTAAATTAAGCAGCTGCTGCTCAGAAAAAGCTGATGCTTTCCAGGGCCAGCCCCATTTGGCAACAACTCCAGATGCTCCAGCACAATCTCTGTCTGGACCTCAGCCCGGTGCTGATCATTAACTTGTCTCCAGAGCAACTGTGATGCAAAAGGCCACGCTGGAGATATAGGAAGGGGCTAAAGCAGTGGAAAGGACAACGGAACATATGTCATCAAAACCTAGGACAAAAGGTGTTCTGATCCTCTGCAGCACTGCTCCCCCCCTTCAACCTTTTCAATGCCACCTTGAATGCTGTAAAGCTTTAAGTGTAGCACATGCACAGCCAAGGTTGCCCTACCATGAAACACTCCTAGTCTAAATGAGAGCAAGAGCAGGTCATCTGTACCAGGGCCAGATGGTCCACACTGATAACCACAATATAGCATTTGTAACAAAGATCTGCCTCTAAGTCAGCCACGTCTGACAAGGGTCTGGCACACCTGTCTGACGTACTGCATAACACCTACTGCAGATATCAGTGTCATCCACACGTCTTCATAGGAAGGACGTTCAACTGGAATGGCCTCAAGTGAGCTGCTTGAGACGATAGCCATTTATAAGACCAAACAAAGTAGACAAAAATCAAGTGCAAAACTCTTCTTAAGCAGTCTAGCAGCCAGCATGTGCCTGGCTAATTTTACAGACAGGATGGAGCAAAATTGTAGCTGGGGCCATCTCAAATCCAAAAGGTCATTGTGGTAACCAGTGAGGAAAGCCTCTCCTGTGGACTCTTTATGGAAACTCTGAAGCACAGTATCAAATTCAACAAAGATGCTATTTATATGCATACAATGGCATATCAGCAGTAAATCAATGCTAGCAACGGACATGACAAAGAATACTGTCAGCTACCAACCATTTCCAAACACTGTTTCCCATTAAAAACACCTTCATATCCCCACTCCCAACAAGATGTGCAAGAAACCTATGAAAGCATATTGTGAGGGAAAGAAGTAGAGGCAGTATGAGATGCCGAGTCATAAAATGTTGATGTTTGACCTTTTTTATGATTATGTTTTGAAACCAAACAGACTTGCTAAGAAGAATGGTCTTAAACCACGACATTTAGATTTTGCTTCAAGTCCCTTTCTCTTGGTATTTGCGTACCCTGGAGATCACACACATTTCTAAAGTTAAGCAAAGGGAACTTGGTGTTTATCAGAAGCTGCAAAATCAAAATCTTTAAGTGCAACACAGCCACACTGTTTACGTTACTTTCAATTAAAAAATTCAAACAGTTTAAAAATCAAAATCCAAGGTCTTCATTCCAGCCAATTTATCAACTACTTCACATTCCACCATGCCTCACTGGCATAGCAGACTGCAGCTTAAATTTTAAGCCAACTCCCTGAGGATACATTTTTTTAAGTTCTGGAAGATCTTTAAATAGCTCTTTGCCTAACTAGCAGTTTGGACAGTACATCTTTGTTATAGATGCTGAGATCAGTACTGCAGGATGGGACCATCCATTTGATCTGGATAGATTGAAACATAACTTGTCAGAAAAAAACACCTCTGGTATTCGACAATGCAGCTCTTCTCCCCTTCTACCCAGGAGTAAATGCCTGGAACCAGCATACTCATATTAAGCCAAGCAGCAGCACTGCATAAAACAATTGCCCTGCATTCTCTGCATTAGACAGACAGTTTATTGCAGCATGCTTTACTGCATACCACATCAGATTTACTTCCAAGATGCTGACATGCTGCAACAGTGCCCATTCTGCCTAGATAGAGTTTGGCACTTTTGGAATAGGATAATTTTCTTTCTTCCTGTGCCTAGCTATTAAATCAAATTGTCAGAGCACAGGGCTTATCAGTTACCTCACTTACACTTCAGTACAACTGCGGTGATGTACTGCTTTATCTCAATCATGTCACAATGCTCTGAAGCAGAAACTCAGTTCTTCTGGACAAGAAAGGCTCAGAAGAGAAATGAAAGACAGGCAAGGAGAAGGGAGAATTAGAGGCTTAGAGTAACTCACCGATGTGATAAACCTGTACAAAGGCTGTCGCCTCTCTGTGTATTTCACTGTGATGGGGCTCAAATCGTAACGAAACCAGATAGCTGGGATAATGCGGCCAGTATGACTGTAGGCTACGTACTCCTAGAAAAGAAAGTGGGGGAAAAATGGCAGAAAATGTGAGCCATCTCATTCCAGATAGAGTGTCTGCAATAAAACTGCTTCTGCAGATCCAGCTCTTACTCCACTGTTTTGTACTAATGATCAGACTGAAGAAGCAAACAGTTAATTCCTGTATGACTGCCCACTCCACATCATTATCAAATAGGAAAATTAGTTCTTTAGAGTCTGATAATGATATAGCTGGGAACAGTGAGTGATGGTGCTTACTCTCATCTTCATTCAAAGTTACAGAAGTAAATAGAAAAGCTGTCATTGATTCCTCTAGCTTAGACCTGCTCTATTTAAATACAAGCAGCCTCCAGGTGGTTGTGGGTGAAGTTTTTGTACTGTCAGTATGTAAATCGTATACTGGGGTATTCATCAAACAAATAGAATTTAGTTTGCAAGAACCTGAAAATCCCTTCTCGTCCACGCACTCAGAATAGCAAGCAGCAGCTCCTGTCTGTAACGCCCCCTTTGCATTGGGACCAACAATGTGAATGCTTTGCCCACTCAGTATGAATCATGTAGAGCCATGTTTAAACCATGTTTAAAAATCATGCTGAAAGCCAAAGTGAAACTGTATACAGAAAAATATTGGCAAACATTCAAAAAATATTGCAACCTGGTTCAGGAGAGATATCTTCAGATTGCCAGAAATAATCTCCCTTAATCCATTTCTTTAATAACAGGTACAGTGCAATCAATCAGCCACAGGACAAGACCCCAACACGACATACTGTACAATGCCAATATAGAACAGATGCTAACATCAACTTAGTATCAAAAGACACATCTTTTTGAGCTGGTATTTTGTCTGTTCTCTCAGTGGAAATGGATATCAATTTTCAAGGATCAGGACATTTATCTTGACAGACTGAAGAAAAACAAAAAAAAAGCAGGCTGGGGATTCAGCAATCCAATGAGAGCCATCAGCAAGGGCATGGCACACACTCTTTACCCAGCTGCTCTTCCTCCCTTCTTTAGCCCTATGACATGGCTGTCAACTTGGATGACCTCTTCCGTTTTAATACTCCATCACACAGAGGCAAAGACAACCTCAAATACTTCAGAAAGATGAAGAAAGGACAAGCAATAGGACACCCATGAGCATGATATGAAAAAAGTCATTTTACTCTCTCTGAGGTCAGAGTGAGCTAGTGAAACAGCATCTATTTCCTTCATTAATCTCATATAAATACCAAATTTCCCTCTATTTAGGTTCTTTTTTTCATGGATGACAAGAGAAGCAGAATGCAGTTGAAGTCCCCAGTCATAATATTTTCAGGGCTCTTATTGCAGAAGTTCTGCAGTACATCTTGGGACAGTGGCTATCTGGGGAAGTGAGGATATACAGGTCTAGGACGTAAAAGGGGAGGGAGGGAGACAGTCCACACTTAAGACTAGTCAATCTGTGGCAGACTATTCCAATAGCTTCCGATTTCTGTTTCCCCACCATCAGTATAGGAGTCAAGGACTAAAGCACTGATATGAGAATTTTTATTTTTCATGAGAAGAAAAGGCAGAGGCAGCACTGTTTCTCTACACTTCAGTTTTGATAGAACTGACCTCATTTTTTCCATCCTCTCTCCTCTTCCCCACCAGCAATCCTGCCCTAATGAGTCAGTCTTGGCCAAACGCCCCAATTTGCAACCATGCTCGCAGAAGTGTCAAAAGCTCCTGCTGTCTATTTTCCAAATTACTTTCAGAACTTACGTTGCAAGAGTCTTATCAGAACAACAGTTGTGACATTAAGCAGAACAAATACATTGTAATCTGAATTAAGGGAGACATCCAAATCATTGGGACACACTGTACAAGCAAGCCCAAAAGTCACAAACAGGAACGTTCATCTGAGAACTAGTCCATGAGAGTGCATGCTTGATTCTCAGTTATGACAAATTAGCAGTAATTAGATATTATAAACAATTCTGGATTTTCATTTAGCACCTGACTGGCAAATAAATTTAAACTGAAAGAGGTTTTTTTATCTTAAAAAGTAAATAGGGTCTTCTTTTTTTTTTTTTTAACGTTCAATACATTGTATTATTAAAATACAAGTATCTCCACATTTAATGTAAATTAAGAATTATAGTTACAATAACTATCATACTCCACTATAATAAAGTAGGCACTGTGAAATAGTCAACCAGTACCTATTCACTGCTGCAAGTTCAGTGGCTTAATATCTGAAAACATCTGTAAAAAGCTAAAAAAGCTGCTAACTTATTTTTCTGATACATCCATTACAATTGAGACTGCTTTATTAATAAAACCACGTGTAAGTGCTTCTTTGTATGTTCAGCTGGATTGCAGTTTCCATCCACATGCATCTTGACACAAGTCACAAGAGCTCCTGCAGCATGTAAAAACATTCCACACAATTTATACAAATGTAGATCAGTTAAACTGACATATTAGAAAGTCAGGAGTAAGAATACCCTTCTCTAGAATTAAAAAAATACCACCACCTGCTTTGACAAGCCCTCACAATCCCAACCCTGGTAAACGCCAGCACCAGGAGCAACATGAAGCCCCACTCTGAAGAGCTTCAGTTCCTCCTTCTCCCAGCAGAGGCTACTGCTCACCTACAAACAAATGTACATGGCTGCAGAGCAGAAGAGCAAGAGGAAGGAGGAATGATGACTGAAGATCCTCCATGCATCCACTGGGCTGCAATGAGGAGCTTCTCTGAGGACTACCTGCTTCTTTACCTTATTTGCTACAGTATATTGGTATGAGTACCGCTGCTTGCCACTCATATCTTCGTACACCGTTGGGACTATCTTCAATATGTAATCGTGAGATGCAAGAGCTGTGGTCAAGAAAGGAAAGGACAGTATACGTTAGCATTCAGAGAAAGGAATCACAGCCTACACAACATTTCAAAGTAAATGTGCAAAATCAACTAAAACAAGTAAGTCACAAAAAAGGTAACTCCCTCCTCCTTATCTCAGGTTCTGTGACAAAGTGATAATTTCACATCCTACATTTATGTCCTCTGTACAAAACTTTGTAAGGTAGTTGGATGATACTAGAACCTGCCCACCATTCTAAGACTTCTGTAGTACCACAACCCACAGAGATGAGTTTGGGTCACTTGAACCTTCCTAACTGCTTGCAAATACAAATGATAAGATTTACCAGCACTACAAAAAGCTGTCCTGGTTAAATCAAGAACTAGCTACGGTTACAGCTGCAGCTCCCTGAGCTTCTTTTGACAGAAAAAGCTGAGGCATCGCAACCTGTGTAGTCCCATTTCTTGTGTACTCATTGTGTACTCATCTTTCTTTCTTTCTTTCTCTTCTTCCTTCTCCTACAGCTGCTTAACAATTATTAAATTTTTTTTTTTTTTTTTTGCGTTTTAAATGGCTTGTGCCATTTTTTGTGTCTGTTGAAACAGTTCTAACACAGAATTCTAAATGATTTTTCTGCAGGATCCTTTGGCCAAGTGTAACACAATGACATTTGGCTCCTGGAGGAAAAAAAAAAACAAAACCAAATACAATCGACTAGCTTCAGGAACAGCCATAGAAATTCTGTTCCAAGACTGATATCCTGCAGGAGCCTGGACACTTGAACGAGAAAAACTACGCTGAATTGTAGCACGCACTGGAAATTTCTTTTTCTGTTACTGGTTGTAAAGAAGGGCAATGAAAATATCTATCCTTCCAGCCACAGCATAGAGCTTAAGGTAAGAGCTAACTTGCAACACAAGAACAAGGAAAAGTTCTGGTGGTGGTCACAGCAGCAAAGGGAAGTTATAGGAATAGGATATGGGTAAAAAACCTCAGTAATTCTGAGTCAGTCATAACAGAGCGGGAGACAACATCCAGATTGCAGAAGGGCTGCAAAGAACCTTTTGGGCTAAGCCTTCTCTATGGTGCTGGAGAAAATGGAAATGTCAGTCAGCAAGATCTGGATCATTTTGGTTAGAGGCAAATTACAGACTTCTGGATACACCAGTGTTGCATGAATGGCCCTGTTTTCCCTCCTGCAGTATGGCTAAGTCCTGTAATCACCAAGAATACATACGATTTGAGCTGAGTTTGTCTGCTCCCTCCAAGGCATTAAATGCTCCATGAACGTTATGGACCTGGAAAGCAAAAAGGCATATGAAGAAACTACACTCTGACTTGGTACTCTTGATCTTTACTTCCCTATCCTATCCTGTAACAAGGAGATCAGCCTGATTCAACATTTCCAAAAACAAAGCCTCAACCCAGTAAAAGATGACATGAAATATCTTTCAGTGACCATCACCACAGAGATTGGTTCCAAGTAAAAAAGTTGATTTCACAACGTCTTACAAGATGAAACTCCAAAACCACTCCAAAGCTAAAGGAATTGCAGTTGGAAGAGGCCAGTTGTGAAATGTCATTGTGAGATATTTCCTAAGAGCTTTGCATAGTTAACTACGAAATTCATTTATTAGGCTGAAAGGGAAATAAATGGGAGTCATATTCAGGTTAAAACTCAAGAGTTCTCCTGTAAAGGTAGCTCATGCCAGAGCAGTTAGGTTTGTACAGCTTTAACTAATTAGCCCAGCTTTCACACCATGCACACTATACCCCTGGAGATGGGAAGGACACAGGCCAACACTCCCATCCATTCAGCTTTTCCTGCAGCTGGTCCCAGGCACACAAGTTTCTGTTTGCCCAGAATTACAAGATTTCCATCCCATGCCTTCCACATACTATGACCTGTAGTCTGATGTCCATCAACAGAATAATCAATTTGTGAACTCTCTAGACAGGGAAAACCCCACAGCAACCGCTGTAGATTAGAGGTTGCATCATTCACATAATGTACAGTAAGCTATACAGAAAGGACAAATAACTCCACGACCTAGAAATTCCTGACCTTAAGCCAGACAACAGGGAAGAAGAGTTTGGAAGAAGTATTTGGTCATGGGTGTGACAGAGTTTCACCTCACTAACAGGGCAATGCAATCTCCTTCCCAGACCCTCTCAACTGATAGCATGTGGATATATTTGTCTCATCCTAATCGCTGTTTTCCTACTCTGAATGCTACAGAGTGGATGATGGTTTGGAGGAAGCAGCAACTGAACTTGTTCCTCTCCTGAGACAGGAAATCCTACAGAGACAAAATCATCAGCAAGTTCAACTCGCAAGGTGCTGTTAACAAGCACAGAGCAAAAGCAACAGCTGAACCTTCTACAGTGCCTTTCAGTCTGTCGGCATTTTGAGTATGTTACACAACAGTAACCATTTGCGAACCCCACATAGAGACTGTACATATTCTTTACTCATTGTAAAAAGCATACAAAGACAGAGAAGGCCCTGGACTGGGCTATAGCATTATGTTCCATTCTTCATACAGCTGATAAGTAAGTCTCTCATAGCATATCTGGGCCAGAGACTTTAAGGTCCACTTCAAACACACTAACACTGAGTGATCACTCAGCAAACAACTGTATCTATCCTGTGAGGTACCTGTGTATTTGGACTTACATTCTTGTCCTTGGCTCCCCAGCATCCACACTTCTGTTTATACGCAAAAGTTGTCTGCTCCGCATCTCTACACAGTGAGTTCGCAAAGCTGCGAGTTACAGAGCTTCGACACAGACAAAGCCACCAGACATCCCCATAACTGCCTCTTTCTGTGCCATCAGGTCCTTTGGTGCATCTGCTTCTCTTGTCTTTGCAACATGGATGGCATTTGTAACTCCCAGTCTGATGTTTTACCATGATTTTCCTTGTGGAATATTCTGGACTCCCATTACAATACTTGCTGTCTGTAGATTGCTAATTAATCTCTGCTCTACAAAGTGCACAGGTGTGTTCCTTCGGGGAACATACCTGTTTGGACCTTAAGTACCTGGAGGGACTTCAACAAGGAGTAAGCTTTTGGCCACAGTAACAAAATTGCTTTGCAACAGAGAACATAAGCAAGCCTGTTTAGCTAGACGTTCTCAGGACTGTCCTGCAATACCTAGGCAAAATCCAGTGCTGGGAGGAGTGGCATAGGAGGCTAGTCAGTGGTTTAACAGTGCCAACACTTTATTCTCCTGCAACATGGACCTCAAAAAGATGCTTTCCAGGGCCTTGAACACCCTAGGCTTTAACCTCTACAAACACATGCAAAGACATATAACTGGACAGATCACTCAGGCAGAGTCCAACAGCAGGCTAAAATAACTTCCAACCTTGCAACTACCAAGGGAAGACAAGACCTCTCACAAGGTTAAAACTAGGATTACTCAACACCATGATCTAGCACTCAAGAGAATTCTATGATCAAAAATGTATAATCCCCTCCTTTCCACATCTCCTTCTTTATTGGGTTACCTGATATGCAAGAACCTCATTGGTTTGAATTTTGGTCTTATCTACATGAGGGAAAAGTCTACCAAAGTCTGCTACTATTGTGCATGAACTACTGTTGAAGAATTGAAGCTCATTCAATACCAGATGAGATTTAAATCTCTACTTCAAACAGACTGTTTTTTCTGGAGAACACAGCATGTACCTTAGTGGATCATTCTGGCAGAGCTGATAACAACCCACAAAGAACTAGCTCCCAGCACATGACACAAGTGAATGAGAAGCTCCTTACCTGTTTAAGAAATATGAGCATATATTACATCAAAGCAGGAGGAGACAACCCAAAATATTTAAAGGTGTATCTAGACAGATTTCAAGCTCTCTCTATTTGCTGGCTCTCTACACTGCTTGCTGAGTCTTGGTAGCACTTCTTTAGCGAACACATCCTTCTTTAATTTGTGCTGTTGAACTCATGTTTGCCTGCAGGATCAGCAGCACCTACACACTTCATTCTTGTGTACGGAGAAGATGAGTAGTTATTCTGAACTTTGAAAATACCAATCAGAACTTGTCCAAACCAGGAGCCAACTACATGTTCGCTAGACAGGTTTCTCACTACCAGAACTGAAGACGCTTGCTCCTTTGCCCCCAACTGTCCAAGCTTCTCATCTCATTCACGCTGATTTGCACTTCAGCTCCATTACTCAAAGACTCCATGATAAAACAATGGGAACGCTGCCTTAGAGCCTTGATTTCCCACGCAACCTGCAGAACTCCCTATTAGCACCTACCTAATATTTTTCATAATCTCAGTCTGCTTTATGGACATTAAGCCAAGCTTATTTATATGCTAATATTTCAGCGTTCCCACACAAGGTATTTCCTAAAAGAAGCCGGGAGCAGAATCAGAAGACTACAAAGCAACGCTTAGGCTTGTTAGCATGAAAAAGGGTTTTGGAAGTGGGTGTACAAGAAGCAGACTAATGAGATGTCTGTGCTGAGGAAAGAAGATTACAGAGAGACTATGGGTAAGCAATGTTTAGTGTGAGTCGCAAACTGGGTGTGCACATATATAACTCCCACCCATGATGCTAGCTCCTGGGAAGTAGGCTAGAGAAGTGCTGTAATCTGTCCTTATTGAGAAACCAGGAATTATTACATAACTTGCAACACCTGGTGAAACTCTGTCCACTGGGCAAGTGAACACATTCAGCTTCTTCCCAGCAGGGAACTGGCAGTTCTAAGATTAACTTGTGTTTCATAGAACAAATTTGACTAATAGGTGTCTGCTATACAAGCACAGTGAAGTGAATTAAAAAGAACTTGACTGGTGCCATGGTAAAGACAGTAGCGAGCATACATCTTCCCTTAGTATACTCACTGCTCCTCTGCAAAGGCAGTCAAGATTTGTTTGCTCTATTAACACTGAAAACAGCACTGCACAGAATTTTGCAAAGCCATGAATCCTCATTTCTACTCCCTGCAGGAAGATACCCACATAGTTTTCCAAAAGCACTTTCAGTTTCAGATGAAAACCGCAAAGTTACTCTATGACAGAACACTGCTCCTTCCTGAAGTGGTGGCATGTAAACAGTTTGCAAACTCTTCCAGACTGAGTGTACAATGCATGAATGCAAGGGATGGGCTTGCTTACCCAGGCAGTCCTTTCTTACATCTTCCCCACAATGTACATGGCCCTTCCATAAAACAAAAGCCTCTAATATTAAGGTCACTCTCATTGCATTCATTCCCCTACAGTCAGGGAATTTTCAGAGAAAAAAAACTTACCTGTAACTTGTCCCCAAATGAGAGCTTGTGGATAATGTGAGTCATGTCAGGATTCTGAGGCTGCGCAGTGGCACTGTGCGTTGACACATGAAAGTTACCAGGGACCTAAAATTAATTAAGACAAGGAAGACAGGATTTCACATTTTATCCCTCAAGGCATTTCTAGGCTTTGTGATATGAAGTGGAAATGCCTGGATCCGTCCAGCCTGGCAGGCTGTATCTGCTCAGCAGTGGACAACCTCTGGCACGTCAGAGAAAGGCTCTGAAATACCTTCCTGTACTTGACTAACACCACCATGCTGCATACAGAGCAGAGACTGGTTACATCCCACAGCCCAAGAGTCTGGCACCCTCACATTGCTACTGCTGCTGACTAGGAGGTGATGAGTGGATCACTCCCAACTTAGCGATTCCTAACACTTAAGGCTACGTCTTTCATCCCTAATAAAATAAGATTCATGTCTCTGACAGGCAACAAACAGTTGCTTAACATTTTACTCCCACATTTTGCATTTGTAAATGGGCCCACTGCTGCAGAACAACCCAAAAGAGCTGCAGATATATTCTCACTGCAGTACTGGTCATGAGCAACCTTACATTTGAGAAGATTGTGCGTTAAGAATGAGTTTTGTATAAAAAGAGAAGAAAAATCCACCAAAAGCAATGGGGCTGCCCATATAAACTAAGCTAGATCTTCAGCTTCTAGCCCTGGCAATAGCCCTTCCAAGTACAGGATTTTCTGGTTTTAATTTTTTAAACAGAGGGAAATACAAAGTTCTGAAAACTACAGATTTCACCTAAGGACTCAGTTCCAAGACAGCAAATGAGCACTGGTGTCATTCTGACAGGATCACTCTAGCATGCACACACTTTTCAGGTCACGAGCCCTACTCCGTGAAGTCTTTCAGCAGATTCAGCTCAATCACTGTTATGGAGGGTGCAAGAATATTTTCCTATCGAAAAAAGGTCGGCAAATTAAGCAACACTGAGAAGCAATCTGACCTGGCCTAAGACAAGAGTGGGAGGATGGTTATACAACTGGCGCCCATTGTGCTCTCTGCAGAGACACCTCACCAGCAGGGCCACAGGAGGCCACATGCCGGTTCCATGTGCTTTCAGGAAAGCTAATTTAAATGACTTGAGGAACAGCAGTGCACTCCTGAGAACACTTTCAGGTGTGGATACAAGCTGTGTCATACACAAGCTCAGTAAACAGGGTGGCAGACTCTGCAGTAAGTAGTACACACAATCATCTCGCTATTACCTTGTTCTCCCTGTTCAGGTTTTAGAATAATACCCAAGTGCAACCCTCAGTCAAGTTTCAAAGCCTGGCCACGTCCCACTCCAGATACCAGCTCATACAGAAGCCTGTACAATTTCTGCCAAGGGACTGCAGAGTTCCAGCTCATACACAAGAGGTTCAGGTTTTCAGAGCCAGAAGTCCTGGGTCAGGTCCCCTCGCTCTGACAGCAGTCCCAATCACTGTATGAGACAATGCAATTACTGGCCTTTCACAGATTAAGCAGTGAAGGGAGCTCCTCACTGCCACATACAGCAACCGCCTTTTGAGTTGCTTTAGTGAGTAGAACACACGACATCTAGCAGACAAAACCCCAAGTATTTCAGCTCTGTGCTTTGGGAATTCACAGAACAAGAACTACCTTTCAAGAAGCCCTTTCCCAGTTTTGTGGACTATCAGCTGCCAGTAATCTTGGCGGCTTAGAGCCTAGGAAAGAAATGTCCTCTTTTTAAGTCTCTAATCCTTTCCATGCCACAGAATCAGTAAGAGGTTCGGCCTGTTATTTTTAGACGCGATTTAACATGACCTGGGAGGAAAAGAAGGAAGTGGGATTTTGTAGCCTGTGGTACATGAGGAGGCGTGAATAAAGGGTGTGCCCTTCTTAGGACATCAGTGGGCCCCACCACTGCCTCCCCCACCCCAGCAAGTCATCTCCAGCATTACATAGCAAGATTATTCAATTCTGAACACACCCATCCCAGAGAGGAGCCTCCTCCAGGCCTGGATTTTCATTCTTTGAGACAGAAGAGGAGCATCCCAACAAAGCATGCGCAGAGGCCGCGTGCATGTATTCCAAACATCTCAGCAGGAGCCGCTTCTGTTACACTGGCACCCTCTAGCAGGGAACATTCCTGTCATTCTGCGGCTCTCAGAACAAAAGAGCACTTGGATAGAGACATTGCCAAAGACCTCTGCATAGTGAGTCACATTTTGGAGGTGCAAAAGTCTTGACAAGCAAACATAGAAGCCGTTCGGCATTTGTATGGAGTTCATACATCCTCTAAACATTAGGCTGCTGCACTGAAAGAGACAGCGCTGGCCGCAACATGGAGGTGCTCTCTGTTGTTAAGCAATGCTATCTCAATTACCTGTTTTGGAGAACGAAGAAAAAGCCTGATCTAACACATTCTCTGTGGGTCTAACTAAGCAGCCTCCTCTCACACTGTTCTGCAGCACTGAGGGACACAACCTTACCACTAATTAGGGACACGAACGTACACTCTACAGTAGAGACACTGACACACAGATTTTCATTAGCATTTTACAAATGGATCTTGCTAACATTTCCCCAGCCAGCACACACTCATCCGCTGTCATTCCTACTCACCTTGTTGATGCTGAAGTGGCCCTCAAACCTGCAGCCATCGCCATTATTGAGAGGTATCTTCATCGAGTTGTCAATATGACCCACTTCGTGCCTTCCCATTTCATCTTGGATGTCTAGTCCAACTACTGCATGGGTGGAAGGGGAGGAGACCAAAAAAATAAAAACAAAAGAAATAACAGGAAGGTTACAGAGGAAAAGCATGCGCTGCTTTTACTGGGAAAAGATCCACAACTTTTTTCCGGATGTTTGACTAAACTGTGCTAGTAATGTCACCTGTCAAATATTCATTGTTATACCAGCTCTTCAGAAAGAACTTTGTAACTAAACTTTTCAGACTGCCTATTTGACACAAATATACCTCCCATATCCTGCCAGCTGACTGCAATCTCAGTTACACAGATAGAAAAGCTTCAGGTAGACAAGGCAGGTGAAAAGTCAACAAATAGCTGGTGCATTCAGAGTTACGAATGACACTTGGAAGGTTTCTTGCTCCCAGACACAAAAAGGTTGCTATGCAAAAAGGAAGTAAGATTTAGAAAGAAGCCAGCAAGGGAGTTCAGCCACTAACACGGGCTGCAGAGCAAGCACAGGGTCCAAGAAAACAGGCGTCCTGGCCTGGAACAGAAAGCAATGGGGTATTGGCAAAGGCTGCAGCTACTTGATCTCCATCCACTTTGTTGGGCCCATTTCAAGTATTACTTAAAGTACAAAGAAAAACTGGTACGTGAAAAGGGGTACTCACATTCACAATGCAGGTTTGGCAAACTGATGTTCAGATTCACTTCTATTTTACCTCCACTGTCTTTGTCTGGGTCATCCACGTAGAGCTCATTAACTCTGGAGGACAGAAAACACAGGCGGGTTTGGGCACATAGCTACTTTCCACAGGAAAAAAAACAGCAACTTGCAGGGGAAGGGAAGAAAAGGAGACTTTGAAGCAAGGGGTTTGACTGTGTCATGGCTGCAACAGAGCTACAAGACAGAGAGCAGAAAAAGCCCTCCACAAGTGCATGGGGGCAAATCACAATTTAATTTTACTTCTTGCTTAGTAAGTGCAGAAGGCTTTAAACAACAAGTCCTTTGCACCAGCAGAAAACAAAACTCCTGCTCTGATTTATGCTTCCTGCCCCCTTCCCTAACCTGAGTTTCCAGAGGGGATACAGAACAAGAACCTAACGTTGAAGAGATACCAGGCTAGCGTGCTAGCCCTCCACATACCTGGGCTGTTACTCCTTTCAGGAAAGAGGGAAGTATGTGCTTTTTGATTTGTTTCATAAATAGTTTTAGAGAAAGGCCGCTCTCAACTATCCCACAGAAAAGCTTATTTGTGTAACTAATTGCATTTTGTTATTGCCACCCGGTCAACAGAACAGTGGCAAGAGAAGGCAGCAAGGCATACTTGTATCTCTCTCCTCAGTATCTCATTTCAATCTATGAATGGTAACCAAAAGCAATGACTAAAATTGAGGAGAAGAGGATGTGAGCCAGCAACAGATGGGAAGAAACATCCTGGACAGCACGATCTAACACACTATGCAACAGTCTCCCAAAGAGTAATGTTGTTTCATAGCACCCACAGTGCTGGCACATATTTCACAGAAGACAAAACACAGATATAGAGTAAAAGGAATACAAGAGTATAAATATTTATTGTTGGCACATACAATCCATCTGACATGTAAAAAAAAAAACCCAAAAAATCCAATGCAAGCACAGCCAAATTAGCTGTGCAGTCTTAGAGAATCTACTCCAGGGAAACTCACAACACTGAACCAAGAAGATGGCAAGATCACCTAGCAGCATTTTCTCCCTCAAAGTCCAACACTGTTCAGCCTCATCAAATAAGAAGAACTGACAATTTATCTTCCAGTCGGACAGATTATAAAGCTATGGGAACTTACGTTCAGACAAGCTACATAAAATAAACTACCTTCACTCGTAAGTGCTGTGCATTATTTTTATTTAATGCTCAAAGTGTATGAAACCCTTTGACAAGCCCTTGCCTAACAGTCTATAGGCTAAAAGACAAACTGGGCTAAGGGCAGCTACAAGACAGATTCAAAGTGATTTTGCTCTGGTGATACATCTCTGGACCATAATGAACTGTTTGCCCTGTGGATTCAGAAGAAACAAGCCCTCACACTGAGAAACACATAGCTGCTAATTTTTTTGGAGGTAATTACTCACAGGTCAGTGGGGTTTACAGACACTCATTTAAAACCAGCACACCATTTGTCTTCAGCTTCATAGCCCTACCTTTCTCTGTTTTTAATTGGCTTGACAAGTTGCTTACAATCATTACTCAATGTATTTTTCAAGTGATTAATAAAAATGACACAGAGGGAGGGGAAAGATTGCTCATCAGTGACCTAGTTAGAAGCTTCTTGGCTGAGCCCTCTTCTCCCGGATGGAATGCATTAAATCTTCTACGTGTTTATTACTGGCAGATTGGGTAGCGATCGGGATTAAGTCATATGTCCAAATACGGTTGTGAGGAGCAGCTCCAGCCAGGACAGGCATTAATCCCCCAAAGCAATGCACATTTCTGTGCTCCCCGAGTCCTCCCATTAAGACCCCAGCTGCCAGCAAACCTGTTTCGTAACAGCACCTGGCTTCTTCCCAGCTTTCTGCCATCTGAGATCTGGGCCATGCCCAGCCAGTGCCACACACAACTCGATGTTACTGGCAAAAAGGAGCATTCACACCAGGGCTGGCAGA